GTATTTCTGTTGCCATCATAAAAATAAACTTATAAACAGAATAAAATATAACATTACAGGGGCTTCCATGCTACAAACGTGATATTTTTTCGCGTTTTTGTAGATAATGGCCGACTCGCACTTGGTTAAAAAATCATTTGTTAAAATAAAAGTGTACAGAGAAAACGAGACGATATCAATGGGGTAGATACAGAGGATAAATTCTTATACCCTATCTATATATATATATATATATATATATATATATATATATATCTTATCCGCTACAAAGAGACTTATATACGTATGAAGATTTTCCTATAATAAAGGAGTATCATTATGAGAAGGAACGAACAAATTGGTGATTTTTTTTGGGTATTTTTTCATTTGTAGAGTAAAAACAGGTTCAATAAACGTCTATTATTTAAGGAGCATATTTTTGTTATACATTTTTTAATTTTAAGTATCAAACTATTTATTATATACTTTCAATGTCAAAGCTGTACCACTTTATTGCTTTTATATACTTTCACTACTTTTACTTTATTGTCCTTTCTTAGCGATCCTCTAAATCATAATAAAAATTTAGTGCACCTAATTTCAACCCGATCCGCTGACTCAGTTAATTTTGCCTTTAATATAAAGATTATTTCTATTTCTATAGAATATGTTAACTTTCTTATGGTATTATCTTCAACGCATTTTCAACTCCAACGATATAAATCATTAAAAACTTATATCGTTTTTGTATAGTAGTGAGTACGTGCATCAAATATCGTCTTAGAAGTTCATATTACAACAAACAATGTCCATCGTGATGGTGACCCAATAACGCGCGGGCGGTTGCATATCAGCATTTGTACACGTAATTAATAATGAACTACAATATAAATGAAGTGTTGCATTAACTTAATGCTTCAGTATGCACTTTTCTTTACGGTATGAAAATTAAAATATTTAAATCTTGCATCATCGAGATGACGAAATATTTAATGAATTAATTATCATTAATCAAATGAAATAAAGTGCTGAAAAGATTTACCTGAACTGATTCTTCAGTGTTTTGTGCGTAAGCAGTTCACTAAACTATAAAGCGATCGAGAGTCACACTGTAGATCTCATTCATTCGAGATCAAGAGTGAGCCAATTTTAAATTAAAAAATAATATAATCGAGTAAAGTTATTTGCATTTAAAATACTCTAATAGTGGGTTTCTTCTTTTTTTATTACAACGCACCGAGTCTGCATCAGTCACAGCTTTTCTTTCCTATTACAAATACAGTGTCGAGTACACGTACTGTCACAGCATTAAAGATTCGATCGAATACAAACTTTATAATATGTACTTTTTTGGAGTAGACTTAGTAGAATTTTATTTGACTGAATCTGTAAGGGGTGACTCTCTCAAGACCGCGTGCCCGCTGAGCCGAGCATCAGCCGCAATTTGGTCAAGATATTTTCAGCGGCTATCACTCGCATCTTACGATATAGCATTAATGTGTCTATAAAAATATTTGTAAATTTCACAGCCGTCGCTCGGCTTGAACCCGACACTGTCTAGCGTGAGGCATCCTACTACGACTACAAACCAAGAACCTTTTTCTTATTCTGTGGCTGCGATAACGCTCTGTTCGTCACTACATTCGACGTTGTATTTTTGACAGAATAGTACTGGGGAACAGTCAAAGTTGTGGAAACTGAGCTTTCCAGTACAAATATTTGACGTTTGTGACCGATACAAATGATAGCATGTATTTTTTTTGTAATATATAAATGGGTCTTTGCCATTCTTCTATATTGAAGCCTATATAAAACTCATTAGGCGCCTCATCTAACTTGTACAACTAGTACGAAATAAGAAACAGATGACGCATTTTATTTCGTCTTTAATTTTTTAGAAAGAAAACATGGCGTCTTAAAACATAGTGCAGCCGAACGTCGTTTATCTCTATCTTCACATTAAATTCATACCATGTTGATATTTTACTCTTTATAAAGAAAAAACTAAAATCATAAAAAGTTTTCGTACATCAAAATGAAAACGAAACTCAAATAGAGAAATTATTATGCAACATAATTATGATTATTGATGAAATGTGTTGAAGTTTTGCATTATTCTAGGAAGCGGAATACTACTAAAGAGTTCAGTAATAATTTATAGATAAAAGGCCAAGAATCAATCAGTATTTAATTATATTGGCTACGACCAATCTACAATCTGTCATTGTTAAATTGTGCTACATTAATATTAAACATGATTTACGTCAGCACATTAATTATAGAAACCAAAATGAATATTAAAATATGACGAGTTGTTTTTAAATTTAAGTTTTGGCATTGTAATTTTGGTTTGTAGATTTTTTCTCATAGCTATACCTACCTAATTTTAAACGATATTTTAAATGACCTTAAAACGGTTAAAATTCTTAATATTTCGTACTGCTTGTTAAAAAAAAAATAGTACGAAAAGAGCTATCAATATTTTAAACAAACTATTAATAATAGAAAATTAAAACATTATATAAAATGTATCTCAAACGAGGCAAACAAAAACAAATTATACCTACTACAAAAACATAGTTAAATAATCTATGAATACCACAATTTTGTTTTGAGTTTGCTTCTTAGTTATACATTGTTTTTAAAAATGAATATGAAATGAATATGGTGGCGTAGAGGATAAGCGCCGCGGCCCGCGATCTTTGTTGTTAAGTAACTTTCGCAAGGGTCGCTCAGGGAATGGGTGACCAAAAATGAATATTATCTCGAGCTACTTCGTGCTTCGGAAGGTACGTTAAGCCGTTGGTCCCGGCTGCATTTGCAGTCGTTAATACCCTCCAATACGCATTGGGCCAGCGTGGAGGATCATGGCCCATCCTCCTTAACCATCCATAAGGAAGGCCTGAGCCCCTGCAGTGGGGACGTAAAAGGGCTGATGTAATGAAAATATTTGGAATAAAAAAATAATAAACAATAGATCCAACGAAAAGTCGTCGCAGATCAGTTCTGATTGGCGGACTGACACTTACAAGTGTATATGTGTCCATAGAGAATGTATAAAAGAAAAACACTAATACAGAACGATAATGGCATAAGTGTGAATAATGCTTAATAAAGTTTCATTATTTCATGTAAAAGAATAAAGAATCAACAGTAATGCCCGTTTTCACTAAACTTAGGACTCACCCAAATCTGTCGCCTAAATATTTAGGAATTGCCTGAGGTAAAAATGCATTTCACTTTTGACGAAATTAAGCAATGTCTAAAATTATCATATTTGTTATGCAGCGTCTTGCACTACGCATTTGCGTATATGACAGCTCATAAATATATCAAATGATAAAAGAAAAAATATATTTATTTGAAATTAAACTAATCTGCTTAGGTGATACGTAATATTAGGCGTTTCCTAGTTATGCCTAAGCTATGCCTTGTTCTAGGTCAGTGAAACTGGGTGTAAGTTAAATTTAATTATAATTGAAAACTTGGACGATTAAATAACAATAAAAATATTTATAGTATTAAAGAAATTTGCCTCAAGTATGATCCATGTGTGCGTCTGTTTTATAAGCATCTGATTTCTTGGCAAGAAGACAAGACGAGACAATTTAACACAAGAAAGCTTCAGGGCTGAAATAACGTAATTAGAATTATCTACAAATAGAAAGGTACCGATACGATTAGTATTATATTTGCACTCGCTGCCTACATTCCATCACAGCATATGTTACTATAACGTACTGTGAGTCCTACCTGTTGCGACTGGCCGTTGACCTTTCACGTATTGACATGTTCCTATAGTTTCTCACGTAACGTAAGCCCTACCAACACGATTACAATACGCACGACGATGACAACGACATGTTTTTACTACGAAGCCCACGCTTGGGCTAATACAAATGATGGACTTTTAAATGTTTTGTCAACAGACACAGACATTGTGTGCTCAGACGCGCACTTACAAGGATACAAATAAGTGTTCAGACGAAAAACATTGCACAATGCGTTTCAATGATTTTAAATAATATATATTTCTTGTAAAATTATTGATGACTGCTCTGAGATGTCAGTCTGGTTTTTATTTTATTTTATTTTTATTTAACAGTAACATGATGGCATATCAGCCATAATGGCGAAAAAACTGAACTAGTATCAGCTTGATTATACATTCGATTCATAAAAAAATAACATTCATCGTTGCCCAAGAGATTTCTTATTCCAAAATCTACACCAAGTAATATTTTCTATATAAAAGTTTCAGCGGTCTATAAAAGTAATAAATAGTTCCAAACTTTTTAACACTTCAATTCCAAACAAGTATTGTCAGATTATGATGATAAAAATATATACAGAGCTGTAATTTACCTGAATAATTGGTTGTTATCTGTAAACAAAGCAGTCACACGATAGCAGTGTGGCTTTGATAAATATGCTAAAAATATTATTTAAAACCGATTATATCAACTTCCATCAATTGCAGATTCTAATCATTTAATGAATAAGAGTTAATGTCTGGTTACTTAAATGCATATCATGATAAAATATTTAATATAGCTGTTTCTCGTTGCCGACAGAAATGGCGTCTCAAGGTTTTTAAAAGTTCTGAGTGTCATTTATGAAGATAAAACAAGTGCTTGCTTGTTGTCAACATAAATATCCAAAGGAAAACAGCTTTTCCTACCCCTAATCAGCAGTTTTAATATTCAACTAACAACGCAGTCATAATGAAATTTATGATTTCAGCAACGGTATTATGTAATACAAAGATCCTCGAACTAGACGCCAAGCACAGCCCTGTCATAGCATAGAGGTGTAATCAAATGAAACCTATGTACTTCAAAGATTAATCGAAACTCTACGCTGTGACAGTGCTTTGCCCAAATTTGAAGATTTTTTGTACAGAATTGTATAGATGTGGTCAGTTTTGGATATACCATGATAGATTTTCTCGAATCGAGATGTAGTTTTGTAGGTGAATTGTTTTGAACCTTACAATTTCATGAAACATAATAGGTACTTACGCTGGTCGTTGCCATCTGAAACAGCCATGACGGTGCCGTTTTGAAACATGTTGACGTACAGGTGGGAGCAGCGGTTGTAGAGGCGAACTGAACGGACCATCGACGGCACCGCGCCGCAGATCACCACCTAAAACAAAAAAGAGGAATAAGAAAAAAATATACGAAAATTGGTGTTGTAAGCAAAAGTATAAAGTACTTCATCAAGGTATTGATTTTTAATAACATAACTGATGTAAATGTTTTATTGCTATTGAGAGCTGATAAGTATTTTGCATTTATTCTTATATTAGCCATTTAAAATAATCTTTTAGTTTTGATAAATTTTTGTTTTAATAAAGAAGACGTAGATTAGTTTGCTATTTTATTCATTTAATCGGTGCATTTATATATCGTTGTCAAAAGACAAGATGTGAGGCGCATAGCTTTATTTTATGTATAACTTGACTCAGAAATCTAAAGAGATATCTATCTATATACTAAGTTACAATACATTGTTGACTTTATTTATATTGAGGCAAGGCTTTAAAGAAAAGGATTCATCAATGATATCGGAATTCAGGAACATTCAAATTTAGACGATATTATTTGCGAAATCTCACCCCCTTTTTACTGTTGAATGATTCGACATATACTTTTAATTCAACTGTTTTTTGAAATTACCTTAAAACTTGATAGTCGTTGTAGATTTGCTCGTTGCGAATGGAAACGTAACTAAAATAAAAGAAGTTAAAGAAATATTTTGTTGCGATTTTATTTGTTTCAGTTGAAGTGGCGGTCTCTGCTTTCTTATAATGAATACAATCATTAGCTTTAATAGAAACGTCGATGCCTTTGAAGTATTCATAAAGTTTAAAGTATCTTCGTATAAAATTTACAATCCTGGGAATATAGTTCTACCGACATTTTAATGGACACGAGAATTACCATATAAACATAAAATTTTACACATTTCGTAACAAACTTAGATCATAAATGTTAGAACAATGAAATAGACACGACATTAAAGTATCGTCTTTTATTACAAATCATCTACCTACACGATTTAAGTTAGTAGTAATTCTAAACTATCCTTTAATTACATTGGATGCAGTATCTAAACATGTTATTTTAACGTCAATTAGATTGACTTTATCACATTTAATCCTACTAATAAAGAAAGAATCAATCGCGAGGACGTTTGTACACAAAACGAGAGTTATAATTCCGTAGCCACGTAGGGGCCTATCTAAATGTACAAGAGCGGTCATACAAGTAATGGTCATGCTAAATCAAGTGTGCGATAACACGGCAAGCTGTAAAATACTGATTTATGCCAGGGTTAGTCACAACTTCTCATGCCACGAGGATTCTGACGGCATATTGAGATGACACAACGTGTTACGCTAGAAACACCAAGTACCTAATCATAACAAAGAATAGTACGCTATAAAATTATGTGCGTCATTATTTACTATGCATTCGCAACCAACGTAATGGAATCGATTGATAAAGGTATGTAGAAATTTAAAAGCGAGCGAATATCTTACGCGGTGTGGTCTGTATCTGTGTAATTCTATCACAGCCTAGTAACTCCGTTGATTGGTTTAAATTAGTTCCTTTATACTGTTACTGTGCTTTCACCAGGTTTTAATGGCGCCATGTGTATACCAACACTTCATTACGAAGATATTGATCAATGACCTATCTAAGTTGAACCCTGAACTTCACGAATTGAACTCCTGAACGTTCGCTGGTTATATATAAGTAGACTACAACGACTTCATTTAAGTTCTAACATTATAACAATATATGCTCATGAATGAATGAATAAATTCTTTATTGTACACCATAAATTATAGAGAAATTACAATTGATACAGTTTAGTTGTACAATCGGCGGCCTTATCGCTAAAGAACAATTTCTGCCAGGCAACCGTAGGTTAGACTGGACTGTTACTACGATAAATAGACGGGTAGTAGATGGTGTCTTACATTGCGAGAGAAACATACCTACATATATTCATACAAACAACATATACATACCTCTACATATAAATATAATATACTATATATTATATAATATAATACAATATACATACAAAAATTGTTCCTAAAGTGATAGATAGTATTCCTTTAACATATTTTTAAAACACTTTAATGAAGGAGCGCGCATTATTTCGTCAGGTAAGGCATTCCACAAGCGAACAGCCTGAACTGCAAATGATTTATCAAGGAATTTATAGGTCGTTACATATATTAACACTGTTTAAGTTGAAGTGTGTGAGATTCATCAACTGCGTCAAAAAAACTAATATCAGTAAATCATATCAATTTACATAATCAATGATTGCATATCATATGATAATTCGAACGTCAAAGGAAACACTTTCACAATAGCATTTCATTTTATAGTTATTAATAGGACCAACAGTTTCAAGCACTACAATAAGGAAACAATCGATCGTTTTAATGGGTCAGGCGTGCTCTGCTAATCCGTCAGGCTGGGGTTCGTCATACGGAGTGCAGACAAATTTATATCTTATAATACTGTTTATAAAAGTTTATTTTTGCTTCTTGCCATCATTTGTTTTAAGACCTTGTGCAACTGCCTCGGTGGTGTCATATTCAGGTGGGAAAGCATAGGCTACCGCTCCGCGGTCACTGTTCAGTCGTATTGCATTTCACGAAGAGTTTTTGTAAACAATACCTTATTAAGATTGGACGTTTTCTTTAATGAATCGATTTTTATGTATAAAAGTAATTCGTCTCATATAATTTGATTTAAAAGCTTAATGAGAAATGTTTACGTTGTAAATTAAATTTATATGTATATTAACTAATATAAAATCAAAATATACTATAAAACTAACGATCATCTTTTTTAATAATTATGTTAATGGAATTACTGTAATAATATTTTTAATATGACTAAGTGCAAAGTCCCGTAGCATACGATCAAAGTTGAAATTTTTATGTAGATTCTATATGAAGAGTCACGTTAAGTTGAAAACAAACTGCTTTCTTTAATAGTGTTTACAAATGAATGTTTGTAAATAACAGCATATTTAACTCAATGTGTACCAGTAATTATATAGTCTCATTTTGAAAGAAAACCAGTTTTACGATCATATAACGTATAAAACTGTTAGTTCCTCAATAAAAAGGCGTATATTTTTACATATTTGACAAAAGATATCTTTATAAATTTGAAGTCTGAGCTGAAAGATTTTTATACTTATTAAACACTAGCTTTCCGCCAGCGGCTTTGCTTATATAAAACTTCATGAATCACTCTATTTGTTGTTGAAAACCGCACTAAAATCTTATGAGTAGTTAAAAAGATGTCAGCGTTCATACATCGGGTTGTTTTTCTACTATGTATAGATGTTATATAGTCTATGGGCTGTCTGATTGTAGGTATATGGTATTCGCATATTGGTTAATTAATCATAATTCTTAACGCAAAGATAAGATAGGAATAATTGGGAACAAAAATATAGGTGAAGTTTAATAATCCAAAAACAATATTATCATTTTAAACGGGAAAAACAATATTTTTTTTATGTTAAAGTAATAATGCTTTCATATCTCATTACTATTATATTCGATTAACATATAAAAATGGTTTTATGTTATTTGGTAATTATTGACACTGTAATACACCACCCTAATGAATCTTTGCGTTAAATGTATTGGAAATTCTTACGGTACATGCACGGATATCAAAATCAATTACAGATGAATCATTGGCGTGTAGTTAATGTGTTTATCCGATTAACTTTAGTGCCTGTGAAAGCTCTTATACTATTGAATATTTAATGTTCTTCATGTGCATTCTATGATACAGTATGATTCAGGTTATAAACTCTTGGGGGTTTGGATATATAAACTCTTTGGAAGTTTGTTTCTGAAATAAAAAAGTGAGTTAAATACGAGTCTAACTTGCGCCAAGGGTTCTTGATATTATTGCATTAGAAAGTACGGCTTTTCCGGGAAGTTTTCAATGAAAGATGAAAATGATATATTTATTCATAACTAGCTGTTTTTCCGGAACTGCACCTGCGTTAATTATAGCCTAAGAGTATATTACCCACGTATGATATTTCCCACGTATGACACTTTCCGTAGATGTAAGAATTTTCATGATCGTTTCAGTATTCCCAAAGATTACCGCGTACAAACTAACAAACATAGAAATCTTACCTCTTTATAATATTAGTAAAGATAGAAATTTACGTATATGTAGTTTATGAAAAAGCGCGAATAACAATTCATTTTAAAGTCAAATATAATTTTCCCGTCTTTAATTTCAAAACGAAATAAAATCACAGTATTTAAAGTTTAGGGCTTTCAAACTCGTAAGCTTTTATACGGTTGACTTTAGAAACTTCACTTTTGCATCGGTATACTCTCAATACGTATTGTGATGTTAATTTCAACTTAATACCTTAGAGTCTTATTTCCACTGGAGAGTATTTAGTTATTGGCGTAAGCGAACTTTTGTTTATGAAGAAAACATTTTCCCTACATTAAAAAAATACAAAATCGTACTTTTAGACAAGTCTGTAGGACAAGGAAGGTGGTAATGTTCAGAGAGAACTTTGTTATAGTTCTACTTGGAGGTAGCAAGCAAATAATTACCCAAGGAAGACTATACGGAAATTGTCTCCCTCCGAGCTGCCTGTTGTTTGCACGATGCTGCAATACCTGCATCGCGCTTACTAAGTATCACCATGACTAAACATGTACAAATTTTTACCGAAGAAGTTGTAAATGTTTAGTCGTGGCGAAACTTTGTAAGCGCGATGGAGGTGTTGCGGCGCCAAGTGTAATAAATATAAAAAATAAAGTAATAAGATAAAATCCTTTATTAGGATATCAGGTTGTAAATGACTGTCATTATGTGGTGACACCACTATGTGGTGAGAAAAATAATGAGTACCTACATTTAAGGTAAGTATGTATGTTTGTCCACTCGTATGCGGAGTGCGAGTGGTTTTGGTGGCACATTTTATCGAGTATTGATTCAAATTTCGATTCAAATCGACACTCGATATCGACCGCGTTATATTTTACCTATTCGATATAGAAAATCGATGAGAAAACTCATAGTACCCCCACTTCATGACATCTTTACGAGTTTCATTTAAAAGCCATCAAAACAATAAAGATTTATGATGTAATAAAATTCATCTCCGCAACAATGGTGTATTAATTTAATAAAGTTTTTGAATCCGGCCAAACCGCATTTTTGAGGTATATCCATAATTTTCCTGTTGCATATTTTTGTCACACCTTCGGAATTTTATATCCTTTTTTGTGAGTAAATAAAAAGTTTTATTATTTTTTGGATTACGGTCATCAGATTATCGGAACAAACTTCTCCAATTTATTATCAACCTTGATACGTTCAGATTTAAATTCAAAATAGTTTGAATAAATTTCACGCGCTCCTGTTTGTACGTATATCACGCTTATACCAAAAGAGTTGAACAGAGATTTAAAAGAAGATTACACATCAAGTTGCAAATTTTGAATTAAAGCACAGTGCCCAGTGGTTAGCGATTTCGGTCTACATTGAGGAAGTCAAGCAACTCCGGCAAAGGGCCTGTCACAGGATGGGTAATCAAAAATTTTGTATCTCAAGTAGGTTAACCTATTGATCTTAGCTGCCACTGAAGTCGTTAACACCCAATGACCCGCACTGGCTTAAATAGTGAGACCACTCTCGTCTATAACAAAATAAATTTTAGAAAACATTATGTACGTACATTGCTCAGATTCCAAGATAAGTAGCTAAAACCATCGTATTATGGAGTATTTGAGACAACGAAGGTAAAACAACACCCAGACCCGAGACAATATAAAAAAGTCCATTTTCTACATTGAACCGACCGGAAATCAAACCTGGGACCTCAGATATGGCGTGTCCTTGAAACCGGCTTTTCAAGGACACGCCATATCTGAGGTGGCCTTGAAACCAACGTATGACACTCGGCTACAGACTTATGGGTTTGGTTTTTATGAGGTAGTAGAAAACGGATTATATATCAAATATTTTTACCGACTTCATAATGATTTATTATTATTGAATACTCGTAATTCGTTCATCAAGCAGTGTTGGGTGATCTCTACAAATGTAGGTGCCGATCATTACATACTAGAGCCTGATATACGGTAGATAGAAATTTATTAACTACAATCAGCTTCGATCAAAGTTAACACTCAATAAAAATGTGAGTCTATTTCATACTCAATGGAACGTTATAAACGTATATATTTAAAATTAGGATTCATTTAAAATTCTACCTTCTTACACACTTTCTTTGAGTTCCTTTTTTATCAATTTTACTTATGTTATTTTCAGATTTTCTGTATATTTATAATAAAAACTATCATAGTCACTAACTAAAAGCATGTAGTGAACTAAACATATATATTATTTTTCAATTACTAAGTACTTTTAAGTGTCTTCAGTAAATTTTACCGAAACTGACTCAAGACTTAAGATTTTATGCATCGATATACGAAGTATTCTCAGAAATTGCTTGAACTTGCAGTGCAAACCATAGACTTGTTGAAGCAATTATTCTCAAATACATATACGTAAACAGATAAAATAGATAGATAGAAAGACAAATTCTTTATTTGCATCAAGCACACACAAAGTTTTACATAGCAAATTTCCATAAAAATTTAAAAAGAAAAACATAAATGGTAAACATAATGGCGATGCAAATGGGTGAAAACACAGTGAATAGTACTTAAAGAGCGAAGCAATAGTTTTCAGATTCACCCTAAATACTCGTGGTCACGCTATAAATATAAAAATTCAAGTAATATTTATAAAGAAGTTAATAATAAAAGCAAAAGATAAAACCAAAAATGCATACTATATACCTTGTATATATTAATAAAATAAATAGATAATAATAAATTAATTCCATTAATTTAATCAGGTTCATTCAAAGCTGCACCCATATTTGTACCTACATATTAGAAAGAAAATAATATATCACCACCATCATCCATAAAGCGACCAATTGCTGGAAACTTGATTTTGTAGCACCTCACCTCAGATCATCTAAATTTAATACCTGGCTTGTCGCACCTAAAATAGTCGTGTAGGTTTTAATACTAAACAGGCGGTATCATCAGCGCAGGCTAATGCGAATAAAATGACACTATGTTTAATTGAAATCACTAATAAATCCTTTTATACATGTACACTGACGTTTTTTATGTAGCTATTAGGAAAATCATTTAACTTGCTAAGTGAACCAGTGGACTTTTCCTTGATGTTACATTTATATATGTATTTGTTTAGCACAGGTCTAGGCGACTTGTATTAAAACAACAGACCAGCCTCTTGTCTTGTCTTGCCCGTAATAAGTAACTTTTCACTATTATTACCACTTTTGATAGCAAAGTGGTGAAAAGCCAGGCTTGCAACTGCTTAAACCATAGGACACGATCTCTTACGATATTTTTGCGATATTTCGTATACCATATAAACTTTTATTTTAGTAAGATTCTTATAAAATAGATAATGAATTAGAAATATATGAAATTAATAAATAAACATTACACAAATTACGATGCTTATAACTAATATACAATATAATATAAATAATATATAAGTACATACTCGTTTCCTTTCATACATTATAAATTCTCTGAATGTCAAACATAATTATAATTATAACATATTTATCCCAAAAAATCTAAAGAAATTAACGAATTATGGTAAATTTTCAAAGACTAATATAAATGAGTATAAATTTGATAGTAAATTAATAATGTCTTGTAGTAAGATCAGTGGTTAAATTAAAATTTAAACGTTATATTATCTATAGATACTAATATTATAAAGAGGAAAATTTTGATTGTTTGTTTGTTTGCATTTATTAGGTTCCGACAGTACCGATTTTAAACATTGTTTCAAAAACGGGAAGCTACATCATACGCGGAGGACATATGTTATTATTTACGCGGATAATTCGCGGGATAACAGCTAGGAAATGAATATGGACGACATCACATACATTGTTCGAACCTCAAATTAGGTAGCGCTTATATTATGGAACTCAGAAACCATGTAGGTTTTTTTTTATAATCAATAATATATCCATAGATAGTCATCTTTGTAGACTAAATATGGCTCGCACTAGATTAGGGATGACGACTGGATAAAAAAAAACTATTTTGTCCCTCAGTCAGATAATAGATAAATATTAGACATTAAAGTTGAGGAGTGGGGGCTTGCTACGTCACAGTTCTGTAGAAAACGTAGAAAAACGTGACATTTCAACTCAATTTATCGTCATAATTTATCGATTATGCAAAAAATACATATACCTGACGAACAAACAAACAAGAAATTAGTCAAAATCAATATTGACTTATAGTGGAAAATAAGGTAATATTACTTACCATCAGGAGGCACAATATCTTCGCAGAGACGGCAAGCTGTGGTAACCTGTTAAAAAGAAAATAATATTGTTAAATTTTCATTTCAATAAATCATAACCTCTATCTAACTGAAACAAATCTAAACTTTTTATATATAAAACGCTACAACTACATCTTCAAACGCTACAAATTTCTTTTCAATAACCTTTCCTTCCTCCACCTTTCTATTTGGCTTAATAGGAATTTTATGAGTTATTTGAAGTCAGTTAAAATATTTAAAAGCGAATAATTAGAAATTTACTGTTGAATTAAAATGGCTTCCACACTTTTAATTATTAGGTAATATATTACTCGTATGTTGTCTATTATGCATAGAAAAGAACACCATTTTAGAAATTTCTTGTTTTTTAATACCTACTTATAGTGACACGAACCGTGTAATATCTCCTTTTATATAATTACTAAACTAGCTTTCCGCCAGCGGCTTCGACGGCACGGACTGGTATTATACATAAAAACCTTCCTTTTGAATCGCCCTATCTATGCAAAAATCCGCATCAAAATCCGTTGCGTAGTTTTAAAGATTTAAATATACATAGGGACAGAGAATGCGACTTTGTTTTATACTATGTAGTGGTTACTGTTTTATTCGAAAATATATAGTTAGACAGATAGATGTTTTATATAGATATTTAGTTTAACACACGAAAAATACTTTTCAAACATAATTATTTGTCTACCATTATTTATCGCAATCAAAATGTAGTTACGGAAACTTCTCAAAAATGGAAAGTGTAAATAAAACTTAAGTGTGTTTGAGTTGCACTAAAACAGTGGATGAGAACTTGAAAAAATATAGGTTGGTACATATAGTTGCAACTGTGTGAGTTAGTGAACAGAAATATTTATAAATCATCATTATTGAAAGCTCAAAAATTTAAGGAAACCTGAGGATAGTAGAAATAGTAAACTTTTCTGGTACAACACAACTATGTCATCTAAAAAGTGTAAAATATACATAGATGTGCTATAACAATTTATTATCAGCCTATTAATGCTGTTATTGGGATACAGGGTTTCCTTCCAATATAATTATATAGGGGAGAATAACTCATATCACATCACATAGACTGCACCAGGAACTGCATCATTTGCTTGTCAAGTTATTTCATTTAGCATCTGTATACTAAAACTACTGGGCTGAACCGAGCTAGGGTTGACAACTTATAATAGAATAAATACAGTATATGATTTTAAAGGAGATTCCAATACACTCAGGGATAGAGTATTTTTCTGGATCAAAAAAAAGGCAAGTAATTATTATGATATCGTATCGTATTAAAAAAAGTAAAAAATTAGGTTTACAATTGTTTTCATAATCTTATTAATCAGATTATATTAACAAAAGGTTTATACGGTCAGTTTTGAACTCAACATTCACCACATTATGGTTTAAAGTCGTTTGGAGGAATTTAGATTTTTCTAGTAAAAGATTATAGGCTAATTAGCTTAATGGTGTAGTTTCGCACTCTCCACTAGGTTGGAATGGTCACGAAAAAAAATTTTCTTCAGATCCTCTGTGCTTTAGAGAATAATACACAATGCTTTTTAACCCATAAATAAATTGAATATACTTTAATACGTAAAAAATACACAAATATTACAAAAACTAATATATGTGATTTATTTACCTTAGCTTGTCATTAATCATAATAAGCTATATTTCACCGATCACGCTTATTTTTATTTTGCCTTTAAATGTAAGACTATAATTATAATGGGCAACACATAGATAAAGACATCAATACAGATTTACTCGGTCATTATTCGAAGTTCTATGGCTTTTTTATGCAAACTACATCCTAATATTTAGAGAAAAAAAATAATTTATTATGTTGCCGTCATACAAATTATGAATTACATAATTATACTATTAGTATGTGTTGTGGTATAATGCAGAAATAATTGATATTTATTGCTCCCATACTTTAAGCGTTGCTTTTTACTTGGACAACCTTGTAATGTGTGTGTTATGTTTTATAACAATTTTTGGAATTTGGTCGGGTTAATGAAACTTAAATTTTCTACCGAGGTACCCAGGTACTGGACCTGAATTCTGGTAGCCAGGGGGGGGGGACAAAAGGTCAAAGGCCTACATCATAGCTACCCTCCTTGAGAAAAGAGAGAGAAAAAGAAAGTTTTCTCTACAATCGGAGTCACTCTTGAAGATGTTACAAATATATAGTGTAACGTAGTTGGAAAATGCTACGACATTAGAGTAATTAATGATTTTATGTAAATACAGACTCACCGTTAAAGATGCTACATTCTTAAATGATATTGTCCCTTTGAACGATAACATAATTGTAATAATAATAATGATTATTAAATAAAAAGTAGGTAACAACTTAAGTTACTAAAATAGGAATAAATATCCTATTATCAGCGTACGGCGACTTAGATCCACAGGGAATCAATTTATATGATATTTTTTTCTTACAATAAGAACAAAACTCATGAAGATTAATTACCTATTCAATCATATGCTAAGAATCAACAATAATAATAATAATAATAATAATATAATCTTTATTGCACACATACAGACAGGAAAACACCACAAAATTACATGGTACAACAATACAAAGTACACAAAAGGTGGCCTTATTGCTAAACAGCAATCTCTTCCAGGCAACCTATCTAGGAGAATAATAAAATAAAAGGGAATATATGGGGTATTGGGTACAATGGTCAGAAGGATATGGTAAGATATATCTTGACATATTAAACAAGAAAGTATAAGTAAATAGCATTAGCATAGAGAAAGGAAATAGCTTTCAACACACACACACACACAGAAAAGGAATAGGAGAAGAAATCGAAGTATGACGCGAGATGTCCAAAGTGAGGTTGGTTGAGGATCGTAAGAAACTCAGTGACGAAGAAGAGCGAAAAGACAAATATTGACAAACAATGTTTTTATCTTTTCTGTTTCTTGATAACGTGGAAAGATGTGTAGGAAAAGAATAGAATATAGTAACTTTAAAGTGTGTAAGTCCCTGCGCCGGCGAATAGGGAGCCAAGACAATCTGGAACGAAAATTCGACACATGGTCAAATTTACGAAGGTTGAAAATGAATCGGATACAAATATTCTGCAGACGCTCCAATTTGTTAAGAAGTTCCTCTGATAGATCCGTGTAACAAACATCAGCGTAGTCTATGATCGATAATAATAACGAATACGCTAAAGAGACTTTAGTTCTAGTAGGCAAAAAGTTGCGTAGTCTATTTAGTGAATAGTACGTGGCAAATACCTTTTTTCTAACGGCCTCCACCTGCGGCTTCCAAGAAAGATTTTGATCGAAGATGACGCCAAGGTTTCTAACTGTTTTTGAATAGGGAATTACAAATCCGTTGAAAATTACTGAAGGTAGCAACTCAGAACTAACTCTAGAAATGTAATGAAAACTGCATCAAATATTAAAGTATTAAAACTAAATGCACTCCAGATACGTCTTAACCCGTTAATGCCTGCCGCACGGAATCATAATAATCGTGTTTAACTTTTTTACTATATCAAACAATATGACAAACACGAAGGTCATGTGGAAGTAAACAGACAGTACGACCATCAGGAAAAGATGCGTCTGTCCGTAAATATGTACTTGACACTGCTTTTACAATCTTTTAACCTGCCGTTTTAGTGTTGGTCAAATCTTTTAACGTGAATCTTACTAACTTTTGACGGACTTTCCGATTTTCAATTGAGCTGAAATTGTTCGTTCATGAATTACTTTGATGACAAAGCTCCTTTTAAGATGCCAGTATTAGCTTAAAGTCGAAGGAGAATTGTTTTCACTCGTATGGGCATATGATGCGATGCAAGCAGTGCAAGCCAAATAACCAAAGAGGTATTTTAAAGACGTTAGGCCTTAGCCCAGAAATGATACAAAATCGCTAAGAATGACAGAAATATTAGAGGGGCCTCGCATTGGGATAAGGCCAGTAGAAAAGCCAAAGCAATATGAATATGAAATAGAGCCGATATGATGATGAAGCCGGACGGTAGCCATAGAAACTACTCTACCGAGTTTCGAGTTCGTTTGATTTCTCTTAGCAAGGGCAAAAGGTCTGTGGAAGTATCAAGGGTCTGATGATGGAACTGGAAGGTCTCCACGGAAATCTCATAATCAAATAATACAACGTTGTCTGGTTTGAGGGTCGTTTTTGTGTATAGTCTCTGGTCCAAGATAATATCCAACATAGACTTATTAAAGAATATTCATTTGTAATTGTACTTTATTGTAGATTAAATGCGTTAGGCATGCTAGGGTTATTACAAATTGTATTATTTGAGATCATGTTGAGACCCAGCTATGGTTTACAAGATAGTAACATATCAATCTAAAAACAAAAATGTTTGGATAAAAAAAACAATCAATATTGTTGTACACATTATGTAGTTTTAACATTTTTAATAACCTTATTTTTACTTTCGTTGTTGTTGTGTGAAATATGGTAATTTTTATTTTAGATGCATGTTCTGTACTCACAAACGTCTTAACCCTTCAATATGCTGCGCGAAGTAATCACATGACAAATTAATGTCACGGTTTCAGAAGTAACGAAAAGAAAATAATGTGGACACTTCTTAAATAATTTATACAGCATTTTAAATAATAGGAAACAAATAAGAATTTATGATGCAAGTAACACTATTGTGATTAAATAATTAAAATTACCTAAATGAAAGTAGAAATAAAGTAATCGAAATTACTTATCGTAAATTTATAATTATGCAGTGCCATTTTGTAAAAAAAAATACTGCGTGGAATACAGCTCTATAATTCAAATAAAACCTACTTTAAATGTTCATAATTGTTTTTTAATTGATCTTCTTAAACTACAACAATAATATATGCGAAGCGATGCTGCGTGTCGCTGTATACTTAAAGTTGATATTTAACAGTAACATATACTGATTCGGTGGCAATTTTTATTTATCAGTTAAAAACATAAATCCATTCAGAACATTCATAATTTGAAATCTTGGTATAAAAAAGTC